CCGGCCCCGCTCCTTGGACCTCATGGTGCCCCGGGGGGCTGCTCCAGCCGAGCCCCAGGTGCTCAGCCACATCCACTACCACCACCACCAGCACCACCACTACAGGCGGGACGCCGAGTGTCCCCCTGGGCGAGCCGGCCAGGGGCCGGGGCCACGCAGATCCCGCTACTCCGGGGCCAAGGTTGCTTTCCACGGTGGTCGTACACAAAAGAGGACTGAGAAAAGCCATCACTCTCAGCAGCCTCTGGAAAGCGGTGCCGTGCTGCAGGAGGCATCTCCAGCAGGACAGCCAGCCTGTCCCCAGGAAGGCTGGGACCCCCCTCACGCCCCCTCCACTTCTCCAAACAGGTTGGACGTCAGTGTAGATGCCAACAGACAATTGGGAGCAGCTGGCACACCCCCTGTCACGCTGGCCCCCAGACACAGCTTACAGAGCAGGCATCACCGAAGGAAAAGAAAGTGTCCCCTGGTGCCCGACCCTGCTCTCCTGCCCAAGGACTCAGCCAAGCCCAGAGCCTGCGACACTCACCTCCCTCCCGGCCATCCCTACCGCTGCTGTCCCGAAGCCCAGCCCCTGATCCCAAGCGCTCCCATGCCCGCCGGCTCCCGGCCGCTCTGGAAGTGTTTGGTGCCACAGCCCAGCTCCGAGCTGAGGAAGCAGGAGGAGGGGTTGTCAGGACAGGAGAAAAACCGCTCGGTTCCTGCAGATTTCTCAGGGATGGGCACCTCCAGACACGGTCTGAGTGTCCACCTTCACTGCCCATCTCAGAAGGGTGGTCAGGGTAAGTCTGGCCTTCACCTCTCCTGGTAGCGAGCAGGTGAACGAGGGAGCTGGTTTGCTGAAGGAACTCCAGCTGCCAGGACAGCTGGTACCTTCTTGATGGGTTTTCCTACAGGAGCACTGACTGCAGGAGCATTCCAGAGCTCACCTGTGAGGATGATGGCCTGAATGATGAGCAAGTGTGTTAAAGAGTTCACCAAACCCTAAAATGCTGCAACTGAGAAATAAGGTGGCTAATTTTAATTAAACATCTCTAGCAGCTGGAGTATATCCCAAAGGAAGGCATGGGAGCGCATTTTTCAGTGTCCTTGCACCAGTCTGGGTGTCTTATTGGCAGACTCGTTACCACTAAAGCTTTCTGGGCTCCAGTTTTAGCCAAGCCCAGGTAACTGGAATCAGTGAGAAAGGAAGTGTGTGTGGCCCGGGGTAGTAGAACAGACTAATTGAGTTGCTGGATTTGCACATCCCTCATTTCTCACCTGCCTCTGTTGCGTGGGAGTTGCTTTTTTAGTGTCTTTTGGAAATCAGATGTAATTAAAGTTTGGCCCTCAGCCTAACTGCTGCACGTCTCTCACAAAGAGAGGGAAAATGCCTTTGAGACAAGTGTCTTTGAAGGAACCTGAGTTTAGCTCCCAGGTCTTGCTCTCTCAGGTCCTCTGAAGGCAGCAAACTCTGAGTCAGCAGGGGCAGGCACTGGCTGGGAGCAGAGCCTGGCTCCCTTCCTCTCCCTGCCACTGACTCATTGCAGGTCCTCGGGCAAATCCTTTTGATTTAGGTACCAAACACAGATCTGGCTGTCTAATTTCTGTTAAAACACTGGCCTTAAACTCATGACTCACTGTGCCCATTGTGCTGCAGAGATAATAACTTCCTCCCCGTGCTTGTCTATCCAGCCCCACCCCACGCCCAGGCTCCTGGTGCTGAGGAGGCAGTGGGGCAGGGGAGGCTGGATGGGCACGGGCCTGGCTCCCTGCAGCCTTCTGGCCTCCCAGACCCCCAGGAACAGATACTTTTCCCAGGTGCAGGAGTGCCTGACACTGCAGATAGGTGATAGGGAGGTTCTTGCAAGGCCTGGAGGGATGCTGGTGTTTGGAGAGATAAGGAGGCATCAGGGCAATGATGTCTCTGGTTGCAGGGAGCTCTGAGTGCCCTCCCAGGGTACACCACATGGAGAGAGCCCTCCTGGCTCAGGGCAGGCTGCTCAGGGCTTGCTTTGAGCTCCCAAATGAACCTGGGAGGGCTCCAAGAGCAGGAGTCTGTGCACCTAACACGGGGTGCTAGGCATTGCAAGGTCCATGCTGGGATGCTTCTGTCTCTTTGGAAATGGTCCCAGTGCCCCCAGTCTGTGCCCACCTCCTGATGACCCTCTGACCCCACCCAGAGCCAGTGCCAGCTGCTTTGCCAAGCACACCAAGCCTTCATTCCCTCTTCCCTCCCCATTCCAGCAGACGGAAGGACCAATGTATCTGCAAGTGCTGTGAATCTATGTCTGTTTACTGCACTTGCTTTGTGGATGCTCTCAGAGCCAGAGAGAGTCACAATTCCCTTGCAAGATTGAGAGACTACATAGATTCAGGATTTAACTTTATTAAGAGCAGAGGAAAGAGCACAGAGGTTGTGCAGGGCTTGTGCAAGGCTTATGCAGAAAAGCCACCAAGCTGAAAACACTGGTTGACGTAACACTCTCTCTGAGTTATAATCACATTGGTTCTTTATCTTGGGAAAGGTATAAATCAATAGAGAAGAAGTAAAAAAGAGCAAAGAACAATCTCAATAGGCAGTCCCATGCAAGCATGACACAAAACACAGACAGGGAGACCAAGGAAAAATGCATCTCTGACTCCAGATAAATGGCATAAGGCTAAAAATATAAGTGAATGAATTAGAAAGCCCAGCTTTAAATTAAAGTTTTGACATAAACTTTTCAGAAACCCAGTTTAAAAGAAAAGCAAACAGCAGGACCCTGTAATTCCTAGGTGAAATTACAGAGAGGAGAAGTGTGTGCCTGTTCTGGTGGCATGGAAGAGAAGACACTGCACTAAGGAGAGCGTGAAGTCCAGTGATGAGTGACACAAAAATCCCCAATTGCCCCCAAGTAAGAGGGTGGCATTAGGGTTTACAAGACTGTCAGCACAGGCTGCAAAGAGAAGCCTACATAGACAGGAGAGTCTTAAGAGAATATTGCTAAAATAAGCAGTCAAAAGATGCTTTTGGGCACAGGGATCATCGACAGCCCCAGAAAAAGGGCTGGTCAAGCAGCAGGGCAGGGGGGACACTTGGAAACTGCTCTTCCAAAGCCAAGGCTTGGCTGGAGAAGAAAATCAGAACAGAGCTGATGCCAAGTGAAGTGCAGAGCCATGGAGACAGGCCAGGGAATATTTCTGTGAACAGCTTGTGTAAAACAGACTATTAATGCAAATGATTTCAGCTCCATCAGAAGGGAGAGGGCTGCCTGGGGTTCTTCAGGCCTAGGGAGTAACATGGGTCTGAGGGGTGTCGGGGGCTGTAAGTGCATATAAAAATATGTCTTTATTGCATAGTGATCACCAGGGGAGTGCTTGGGGAGGTTCTCACCTGGCTCTGTTCAGGGCAGGGGGGGCAGGATCCCTCACAGATCAAATCACCAGTTTGAGCACTTTGAAATACAGTGGAGAGTAACAAATTGCCAGGGGTACAGATTACCCACTGGGCATCCTGCAGGGCTCAAGCACACAGCTGATAAATCCTGAATGTGGACTGCAATCTCTTATCCATGCCCAGAGCCAGGAGGAAAAGCTGAGGGCAATATCAGCTGGAAATAGCTGAAGCCACAGAACGATGAGCCTGACTTTCCAGCCAAGCAAATCGTTAAAAATTCAAATACAGGGTCTGACTTGTAGGCACATGGCTGAATGTGAAAACTAGGGGAGGAGGCAGCCCAGTTTTTGTAGAGAGAGATAAAACCTGGCAGATCTTTTAGGGTAAGGAAGCTCTAAAAGGATAAAAGGGAAGGTGCCCTCACAGGTAAACAACTCACTGAAAAAGGAGACGAGTTCAGGTCAGACTTAATAGAGGGTTATTACTCAGAGAACGTGAAAAGTGGAGTTCTCCAACTGTCTGAACCGTCCAGAAAGTTCATAAATATTCTGGACAAGGAGAGAAGATAGCAAAGTGTGTAACATATAAAATCCATCAGGATGTCAGCATTAAAACTGGATACAGTGTTAGAGGAGAATCTCCTGCTGCTGAGCTGTCGGGTGAGAGCATGGTGGGTGAAATCCCCTGTAACAGCACAGAACGCCACACACGAGCAGAGGCACTTTTAAGTAAAAATCACGTTACTGTTATCATTATTGTTTTTATTATTATCATCATCATTAGCATTAGCTGGCTGGGAAGTATGTGGGACAAGCACAAAGTGCCTTTATGCAGGTGTGTAAGTCTGTGGTGATCTCACAGCTCCTGATCACCAAAAAGGGTGGAAAAAGAAAGAGAAATCAGGCTTGGAAGGAGGGCAGAAAGGTATCTGGTGTAATCCCAGCAATGGGTTTTTCTGAGAAAATAGAATGGTGAGACCTTCATGTGGGAAAAAAAGTGATTAGCAGAGGATATGAAAGAGAGGATATGAAATTAGGAGAGCAGAGGAGAAGGAAGATAAGAGAGTACTTAGAACAAAGTAATTGATGGCATCAAACAGGAACAAGAAGCTTTAAAACACCCAAAAGGCAACACATGTTGCGTAGTGAAACCGGTGCTGATTGCCCAGGGGATGTAGATGCCAGAAATAAAATGGTTTTGAGAGCCCAGATCAAGAGGTAGCAAATGCAGAGATGCAAATCCACCCTCTGGCTCAGGAAGTTCCTAAACCAGGGCTTCCAGAAGCTGCTGGTGCTCCTGTGGGATGCAGCACCCTCCAGGTGTGTGCTTACCTCACCCAGCTGCCAAGTGAGGCTGAATCTTGGTCCACAGCCCCTGGAGAAATTCCACTTGTGCAGGCAGTGCCATGCACTGGCATCGCAAGGAATAATGCTCTGGATGATCCCAAAGAACCTTGCATGATCTTGGAGTTTATGCCTCTTCCTTGAGCTCCTCCATCAGCCGTTCTTGGCGGGCTTTGCCTCAAGGTGCATCCCTGACTCTTCTGTTGCCTGGGAAAGGCCACACCTGGGAGTTGTGTCCCTGGAGAATCAATCCTGGAGCAATGCTAATGGATCCTCTTAAGGGAAGACAGACAACTGGCAGTGAATTCCAGCTGGATGGCTTCCTGAACCCGGAAAGCATCCCAGAACAGCCACATTACTGCAGCGCAGGCTGATGAAATCCCTTGATTTCTCTCCCTGGGAAATCTCACCTCCTGCAGTGCACTCCACATCCTCCCCCTCTCCTCCCTCCTGCTCATCCTAAGTCCCTTTCATGTCACATCTTTGATCTTTACTAGGGAGGGGGAAAGGGATTAGAGGGCAGAAAAAGACCACCCTTAATACCCAAAGAACATGATTTCTGTGGTGTCATCAAGGTGTGCTCCAGGTCTGTTCCCTGCCACGGCCAGTCCAGCAGCCGAGGTTCTCCCACCTCTCCCAGTTCATGATCTTTTCTTAGCACAAGCAGGGGACACTGATGCAGGCACAGCTTTCAAAAAATATTTTAGTAATGTTATTTAAGAGTGAAGGCATGTGAACACAGAGGGCTTGAAGCTGGACAGTCTCTTTTTGGGTTGCACATAAGCTGGTGATAGAGGGAGCAGTTGGAAATGGCTTATTCCACAAACTTGTGACTCAAGTCACAAATGCAAGGTACGCTTAAACTCTGTCTTCAGGTGCTATGACCATGCTTGCACATGTGTGTACATGTCTAATACCATGTGCATTCATTTTCCCACATTGATTAGCTATGCTTTTCCAAGCAGAATCTCATTTGTTTGTTTTCTTCCCACATCTTTAATTTTCAAGGCTCTGCTCCTACAGCTGGTGATACATAATCAACAAGAATTCATTCTGACTGTTCTGAAAAGTTCTTTTAAATTGCCCTCGATGAATCTCTTAAGTGGGCATTTCTTTCCATTGATCTCAGAAACATTCAAGAAAAGGGAAATAGGAAAAAAAGGTCTGTATGCCTTTGCTGGGCTTTGCTGACCTTGTGTAAGAGTTCTGGGCAGGCTTGGGAGACATCTGGGAAGGGACCAGATGTGGTGTGTGTGACAACAGGCAGTGACTTAGAAAGGGGCTGTCTGGAGCTGTGACTTGGGTGCACCTTTTTAGGCAGCCCTTTTGTTGGATGGTTCCAAGTAAACTGCTCAGCACCTGCCTGTCAATAATTCTCTAGGCAGAAGGGGCTGGGGAAGAGCCTGGGTCTGAGCTGGGCTCAGAAGCAATGTGTACAACCTCTTGAGCACTCTGGAACATGTGACGTTGCTGTCTTGCATCCCTGCTCTCTGCTCTTATTGCCTGGAGTTTCAGTTGCCCCCTGGCTCTTGAGATATGAATTGGTGTTACTTTCTGTTCCTAATAATTTTTGAATTCTGTACAGATTTTCACAAAGAAAAAATATCAAAAAGCCTGAAAAGCAAACACCTAGTAGTGATGTGAATCCTGGGGCGCCCTTAGCTTGCCTCTTCTGAATTACATAAGGAGTAGCTTGGTGTCTTAAGATCTTATTGTACTTCACCTTAGAGGAATAAACTGGCTGAGAGGTGGCCAGAAAACTCCCTCTGAAAAACTGTGATAAACCTCCTAGAATCATGCAAAATCCTGAATTGGAAAGGACCCACACAGATCATCCAGTCCAGTCCCAGTCCCTGCCCAGGACACCCCAACAATCCCACCCTGTGCCTGTGAGTGTTGTCCAAACGCTCCTGGAGCTCTGGCAGCCTCAGGGCTGGGACCATTCCCTGGGGAGCCTCTTTCAGTAGCTTACTGGCTTTTTTAGTAGCTTTCATTTAGTGTTTTTTCCTGCAGCATGTGTTCTCTGGATTTCAGGGTCAAGGCCCCAGCCACTGCAGAGCCTGGGAATATTCAGCCAGGTGTAGCTGACACTTTCCTTTCTCCTTTTCTTTGAATGCAGGATCTGAAGAGGAGGTTCAGGATGTCCATGAACACTCAGTTTAATAAAACACTGGCCTGTTTGCTCGCTGGGAGCTGGAGTGGACACAGATGTTGATGGAGCTGCTCACATCTGGCTCTGCCTAGCCTGCTCTGCTGAGACACGGACTGCCAAGAGCAACGGGCCGCTCGTGGTCTCCTGACACGTCCCCACACCCTGATGGTCACAATTAGAGCCCTGCTCTCCAGGCCCCATCTCCTCTGAAGGCACAGGCAGCCCCTCATCATCCCATGGCGTCGCTCCAGGCCGGGCAGGGCTCCCAGGGAGAGCTCACCGAGTGAGTGCAAGCTGCTATTTTGGTGTGTTTATGCCACAGAAGGTTTTGCTAAACACTGCAAAAATAAACAAGCCTTCGAGACCAAAAGCTGCAGAAATTACTTTCTGTGGCCTGGTAGCTCCTGACTTCATTTCCTCACTTAGGTCAAAAGCCAGATTTCTTCAATTAACTTTTCCATGCTTATTTCAGACACAGGAACAAGCTATTCTCCATCTCACCGTTCACAGGGCTGCCCTGCAAGGTGCTGCTTCTGACTTCAGTGAAAAACCAAGAGCTCTCACCACTTTTGGTCACCCCAAAGTCCCTCAGCTGATGCCATCTCAGCCACTGGCTGTGTTTGCCAGCAACAGGAGAGGGGAAGACGCAGGGAAGTCAGCATTTCTGGGAATGAGCTGGGTCAGACTCTTTCCATTGCAAAGAATCCACCCTCTCATCTGGCAATGTGAACAAGTTTCTCACTCACCCTCTAACTCCTCCACCTACCCTCAAATAGCTCTCATGGCCAGCCCTGCTAAGAGCATATTTCAAACACATCTCAGATGTCCCTGTAACAGGAGTCATGGAAAATCCTGGAGTTCACATGGCTCCTGCTTCTCTTTCCTCTCATTGCCCCAAGACGCAGCAAAAATTCCCAGCAAAAGCCTCCATAACAAACGCAGAACAGAGCCTTCTCCATCAGCCAGACTTACCTTCATATTCTGAGACGCCTGAAATCCTTCAAAAGGATTTTTCTATCTTTTCCAACATTCTGATGATTCAGGGAGAAAACTTGAGAAATCATCAAGCTCTGGTTTATTACTTTTCTCCTCCCCCCACCATTTATGAGTATTTTGGGTTTTTCTGAATGTCACTAGTTCTTATTTCCTGCATCTCATAATTTGCAGACATTCAAGCAAAATAAAAGCTGCCAAATTCAAAACAAATAGAACCTATGCAGCTTTCAAACAGCAGAAAATTCCTGTCAATTCCATTGCCCTAAATGATCAGTCAGGCCAGAGAATCAGCCAGATTCAGCACATTTCTGTGGCACCAACTGCTTCCAAGCACAAGGAGGCTTTGGTGAGGTTACAGCACTGGAGCTGAAGCTAACTCCAACAATGTGAAACTTGATTTAGGGACAGACTTTCCCATCTGCTCAGTAAAGTTTCCTGTGTCTTCCTTTGAAGCAGCTGCTTCTCAAGAGACCACAGTGGTGATGCAGTCCCAGTTCAGCATAGTCCTCTGTCTTCCTTTGTTGGTGGGAAAGCTTTTTACAGGGTTTGCTGCCCTTAATCCTCGAAAAAGGCATCTTTGCTAATGCTGCTAATCAATCCCTGATAGTCAAGTGATCAATCAATAGCACTGTTTTAAAGCCAACACTGGTCCCTTGTGCTCATTCCTTGTCTCCTGTGACCAGGCCCCTGTGGGACCTTTCAGTCTAGGGAAGAGCTGAATTTATCAAAGAACCCAGCAGAGTTAGATTTAGACCTTGCCAGGCTCTTGCTTGTCCTACAGTGCAAGCAGAAGACACAAGCTCAGAAGTTTTCTCCTGTGCAGGGAAGTCAGTCTTAAACTAGAGGAAAAAGCCAGGAGTGGGTCTGGCTTCACCCCGTTCAGCTTTTCGTGCTCCTGGTCCTTGTCTGAACCAGCTCCCTGGGTCCTTCACCATCCTGGAGGGCTCAGAGGCTTAACAGAGGGGACGGTCATGAAGTCAGGGTGCTCCTACTGCTTTTTTTAGGATTCAGGAAGGCAGAGAGCCTCTAGGGATGCATTTCACTGCTCAAATGAACAAGTGCAACTCTGAAGTCTTTTCTTTCCCTCCTTATCCCTAACAAAAGAGGAGATTCCTGAATTTGTGAGCCACAAGCTTCTTTGGGAAAGCGGTCAGCAAAACAAACTCATGCACCCTCTCCACTCCCATCTGCAGTGTCACCAGGCTGCCAGGGCAGCACCTGCTTCCAAGTGTGTCCCTTTCCTGACCTCAGGCTGCTGCTCCTGTTCACGTGGAAAATGCTGGAGTGCAGCTCTGCCTCAGTGGAGGCTCAGGGGAGGAGAGGGAGGAACTCTCTGGGAACTTGGGTTTGAAAGGATCCTCTTCAGTAGATCGATGGCTGTCCTTGGCTGCCTGGAAAGGAATCAGCATCAGAAAATAGGGAATGGTTCCTCACAGTTCTTTACCTCTGGCTTCGGAGTGATGCTTTTTGAGTGTTCAGTGCCTGTGGGCTCCACCATGGAATTTCTCCAGCATCCCTGCAGTGAGACAGAGCTCATTTTCCTTCTTTGCATCCAAAGTCACAGCTGAAAACTGATGCAGGCCAGAGCTTCCCAAGCTCCCTCTATCCAAAGTGAAGGTCCAGCCCTTCCCAGGAGCTCCCACCACCTGAACTGGGCATATGGTCAGGCTGGCTGGATGTCTCCCTTCCTGCACAAATCCCTCAGATCCTTTGGAAATGTGAATATCTCTTCATTTTGTTGTTGCTTTTTGTTTCCTTTGGTTTTCTTGCTGAGTCTGGCCTGGCTCTCAGGGCTTGGGAAGAAATTAAGACCCGGGGGGG